TAGTGGATCCCAAAGTCAGTTTAGAGTCTAGTTATGGAAAACAGAGTTAGAACTTTTTCAAAAAAAAAAAAAAAAAAAGTTTTTGGGTGCTGGTATCTGGTGTTATATTCACCTCGGAAGAAATGCAGCACAGATTCACCAGAATGTTTTCAGGGCTGTAGGATTGACAGTATATTATGAAAAGAGATTACATAAACCAGGCTTGCATTCCATAGAATAAAGAAGGTTAAGGGATGTTAAAAGTTTTTAGAGTTTTAAAAGGAATTGGTAGGTGGATAAAGAAAGAGTTTTTAATGGTGGGGAAATATCTTAAGACAAGGGATAAAATATAATCTAAAATCAAAGTCATATCGTTCAGGAGAGAGGTTAGTCAATTTCATTCAAATGGCTTAGAAGTGTAGAAATCTTTCTCACAAAAAGCATTGGATGCTAACTCAATGAATAATTTTGAATTTGTGATTGATAATTCTAGTTGCTTGACATGGCTGTTGAGAGATTTGGACCCAAGACAGGTGGATGAATTTGTGATACAGATCAGCTATCATATTGCTGACTGACAGGAGCAGACTCTGGATGAGCGACCTACTCCCATTCCTATTCTGCAAATTCATGTTAATCTGAAGAAGTCTTCTAATTTGATGATATGCTTGTTTAGGCATCCAGATGTATGAGCAAAGATTAAGGATCCCATGCTGAATGATTCTATGGATGATCTGGGCATGATAACAGATGGTATAGTAAAAAGATCACCATTATGTCCAGGAATATTCTGTTGGTGTTTAGGTGATTAAAGTCAGGATCTGCTGTATTGACAGCCTGACTTGTTAAATGATTGGTATGATTTAAGACATCATAATATGGGGACATGAAGTGAAATAATCATTTCTTGAAGAGTTAATACACCAGTAAAAGTCAATTAAGATATATTAATGGGCCAGAATTTGCTGGAGCATGCTTTGTATTAGTTAGATTTCTCTCTTCATCCTCCAGCTCTCAATTCTTTTAAGCTATCAGATCATTTGAACACAAATTGTTGGAAGTACATGTGATAAGAACACAATAAGCTCTGGAACTTTGGTGAATGGTGGGACCAACGATCTCTCTCCTTAATTAGAGGTTGAAGGATAGAGGAAAAATAGAGTAATCACAGAAGAAAAGAGGAAGAATAAAATCAAAATTATTTCAGAATATACTGCATTAAAAAGCTAAAAGGCAGAAAAGTAAGAAAAATATTTTAAAACATAAAACTTTTAATTTTAAAAGATCTAAGAATCAGTTGCTGCCTGTAGGAATGAGATTCCTCCGTTTCCCTTGTGCATTTATGTTTATTTGTTCACGGGACGTGACTGTCGATGGGTTAATGGAGGCCTTCAAAAATTGTTCTTTCCATTTTATTTCTGTATGCTATGCATGCTTTCCTTCATAGATCATTGGATGGAGTCCAGGCCAGAGCCATGATTAATTTCCCAAATCTCTCAATGCATGTTGTTCCTCAGGAAGGTTTGCACACATACCGATGGGCTCCTGTTTTAGTTATTACTGTTAATAACTGCTAGTGTTTAGTGCCATTATTTTAATGTACAGGAGGTGATTTTCTTGATTTTGCTGTTTGAAATCCTGTTCATGCCTCCGAGCTTGCATGTGACATTGCCTCTTACAATCCTGTTCACTTTTTTTTTAATCCTTTCATTGATTTTTTTTACTTTTTAAAAGGTTCAACACTTTTGTAGTCTTGATGTTATACTCTTGTAGCCGTTTTAAAAATTTCATTGACCTGTACTTTGTTTCATTTACCCAAACTTTGTTCTTCCCATTACCTTTTCTGTTCTTTGGCTTGTTCCTTTTATACTCTTCCATACAGTCATGTGTTTGCCCTAGGGAGTTTTATGTTTGCTTTGATCGAAAACAACTTTTTAATAATGGCAAAAATGCACTTTATTCTGTTGTTCTTCATTTGTCTAAAGATTAGGTTCATATGTGTTAGATTTCATTAAAAACTTGACTCTTCTTCAATCCTGTTCTGCAATTGGCCTTATTCTGGGATATGGTTTCCTTTTGATGTCTTTTCTGAGTGGCTGTTCTTCTTGTTCACGCCTTGGCAGTTAGTGACCTACTCAACATTGCCAAATCCTAATCTGTCGTCACTCAGTGAACACACAGGAATGCCTGTTATTAGCTGGTATATGTAATTAAGGACAGTAATGCTTTCACTCCCCTCCCCTCACTCTCGGCCTTCCCCCTTCTAAGTCATTGGCCATTCCTAGAACATCTATTGAAAATAACAAATGCTGGAGATCACAATGACTCGAGTCATCCAGACTCGAAACGTTGGCTTGCTCTCTGTCCATGGATACTGCCTAACCTGCTGTGATCTCCAGCATTTGTTGTTTTCAGTAAAGGTTCTAGCATCTGCAGTAATTTGCTCCTGGAACATGTACTACTTGATTGATATACTGGTTGCTGAACTCCTCCCAGACCATCAATCAGATTTAAGATTTTCCCCATCTGTATATGTCTTATGGATATAAAGTTTATTTATTTCAAAACCAATTGGGCTATCTGGAGGCTGAAATTTGTGAGCAATTCAACCTCTAATTATCAAAACTGCATTTGCAAGCAGCTTCAAATTCGTTCAGTTCCTGCAAGGGGCATTTGAGATTGTGCCCTAAACATGAGGATAGCCCACGAGACTAGCTAAACATCCAGCTGAGCAAAGTTTGAATTTAAAAGTTTTAAACTGTGTACCATCCATTTTTTATGTTCCACATCCATGGGTTGACATAAACACAAACAGGACGTCTGTGGATCTTTACTTTTATGTTTTAAAATAATATTTAGGAGAATGTGGAAGAACTATTTGTTTTTAAAATAATTCTGTTCAGTGACAAAGTATTACATGCTCCCTAGTGCCTTTTTTTAGTTGGTTTGTTTTGGAAAAAAATACCTTCGAGCGATTTGATTTGTGAAGGCAATTTGAAAGAATCTAAGACATGGAAACATATCAGGCCCACTAGTGACACGTTCAGTTCAAGGTACAATGATTGAATGAGACCGTAGCCCATTCAAAACTGCAGTTCAAGTTTTCTTCAGCTTTTAGGAATGTGGTAATTGACAAAGAACTACATGACTGATCTAATTTGAGAGTACCTGTAGTTTCTAAATTTAAGAGGTGTGAATGACAGCCCTTGGCATCAAGGCCACATTTAACAGAGTGCGGCATCCCGGAGTGTGAGCAAACCTGGAATTAGCGGGGATTAGGAGGCAAACTCTGCTGATTGGAGTTGAATTTGGCACATAGGAAGATGGTTATGATTGTTGGAGGTCCATCATCTCAGCTCCAGGGCATCTCTGCAGGAGTTCCTCAGGATAGTGTCCACAGCCCAATCACTTCCAGTTGTTTCATCAATGACCTTGCCTACATCCTAAGGTCAGAAGTGGATGTTTGCTGATAATTGCACAATATTCAGCACTGTTCATGACTCCTCAGATACTGAAGTAATCCATGTTCAAATGCAACAAGATCTGGACAATATCCAGACTTGGGCTGACAAGTAGCAAGTAACATTCACGCCATGTAAGTGGCCATCACTGACCATCTCGAGTAAGAAACAATTTAACCATAGCCCCTTGATACTCAATAGTGTTACTGTCACTGAATCCTCCATTATCAACATCCTGGAGATTACCACTGACCAGAAACTCAACTAGACCCTCCATATAGATATAGTAGCTACAAATCCTGTCAGAAGCTAGGAATACTGGAGCAAGTAACTCACCTCCTGACTCCCCAAAGCCTGTCCACCATCTACAAGGCACAAGTCAGAAGAGTGATGGAATACTCCCTGCATATCTGGATGAGTGTAACTCCAACAACACTAATGAAGCTTGACACTATCCAGGGCAAAGTAGCCTGCTTGATTAACACCACATTCACAAGCGTACACTCCCTTCACTACCAACACTCATTAGCAGTAGTGTGAACTATCTACAAGATGCACAGCAGAAGTTCATCAAAGATTCTTAGACAACACCTTCCAAACCCACAAACACTTCCACCTAGAAGTACAATGGCAGCAAATACATGGGAACACCACAACCTGCAAGTTCCCCTCCAAGCCAATGATGACCTTGACTTGGAAATGTATCACAATTCCTTCAGTGTCGCAGGGTCAAAATCCTGGAATTGCCTCTCTAATGGCATTGTGGGTCAGCCTACAGCATATGATTTGCAGCAGTTTAAGAAGCCAGCTAACCACCACCTTCTCAAGGGCAACTAGGAATTGGTGATAAGTGCCGGTCAGCCAATGACTCCCACGTCGCATGAGTGAATAAAGCAACAATTTAAGTTAAGTCAAAACTGCAATTTCTGTGTGGCATTTAAGTATTGTGGATTGGATAGGTGCACATTCTGTACAGTTTTTATTCTATTGATCGTTAACAACAGATGTGAGTTTTTTTTTTGACTGGATTCACTAAGTGGCAGCTGTCATTCAATGCCAACATCACCAGATTCTAAGTTGGATGGTCTAACTGACAGTGTCATATGAGATACTTTTCCCATGTTGCTGATCTATTACACTGGTACAACTTTAAATTATACTTCACTGTGCTTTGGACTATCTCTTTTTGTACTGCTGGACATTAGTAATTGAACACTTTTTAAGCTTCTCCAGTGTTGATGTGCAGTGTAGACTAATGGGATGCTTTGGAGTGGGTTTGTTGGAAAAGAATCTTCATGTAAATCATGTAAGTAACATACTTCGAAATGGTTCATTTTTACACTGTGCTAGTTTTGGGAGTGAATTCAATGCATGAGGGAAGCTAAAAGTGAAACATATTCTTGATTTTAGTAGTTAACGGCAATAGAAAAATTGCAGATGTGTTTACTTAGCTTTGTATTGATCCTGTGATCACTTTGAGGTTCATTTTTGATCTGAACAAAGTAGGAACGAAAGTGTTAATTCTTAACTTGTAATGCAGCCTTATATATCCTTCTGTAGGTTGGAGGTACGAAAGCAGGAGTGGTGCGCTTCTTGGGAGAGACTGACTTTGCTAAAGGAGAGTGGTGTGGGGTGGAACTAGATGAACCTCTTGGAAAGAATGATGGAGCTGTGGCTGGAACCAGGTTTGTTTGGAATGATAGTTTACAGTCAAACCCTTTGAATGCTTGTCACTTCCTTTAAACCCTTGAACACTTTCACTATTTTCAAGACCTGTGAAATTATAATTTAATGAACTAGAAAATTGAGTTCAGTTGTGATATTTCAAATTAAAATGCTTGCTTGCTTAATATTAACTTCAAAAGTAATTCCTAACCTAGAGTGTGTACTGAATGCTGTTTTTTTCCCCGTCAGGTTGGTGTCTTTGAGCTCAAAATATTTTTTCTTAGGACCTTTTTTTTTAGTTTTTTAGGAGTTTTTTTTCATTCTCTAACTCCTTATTAGATGATGCAGTCATGTACTAGTTATGTACTGAAGAAACCTTGCGTGGTTTGCTTTTATTCCGGGTAGCAGTCAGTCAGATGCAAGCTGGGATTTTTCAGTTTAATTACATTTTCACATTTGTCACAATTCTGGGAGTAATGGGGCTTGACTTCTAGTGCACTATCCCACTGAGTATAGTGATAATGCTATCTCCAATGGAGCATCCAGCTTCAGCACCTATTGTTCCTCAGTTGAATTTTGCTGATGCATTTTAGAACATTAGAGCTGTTTACAGAATATTGAAGTTTGATGCAGAAATTTCCCCTTCTATGGGCTACAGTTGACACTAGCCCCATCTCAAAAAGGTAAGCTTTCAAAAGTTAATTGCACTAATTTAAAAGTAAAGGTTTAAAAAGAATGCTTTTTAACTGTTGCAGATATTTTCAATGCCAGACGAAGTATGGTCTGTTTGCACCAGTTCACAAGGTTACCAAAATTGGATTTCCCTCCACAACACCAGCTAAAGCCAAGACAACTGTACGAAAAATAGTAGCCACTCCATCAAATCTCAAGCGCAGTCCCAGTGCATCATCCATAAGCTCTTTGAGCTCCATAGCATCTTCTATCAGTGGTAGACCTAGTCGTTCAGGATTGGTAAGAAATCATATTAATCTCAAAACCTTTTTGAACTATCCTTGTGAAGTTGTGAAATGGCGTTTAATGCTAAATTTTAAATTATATTTATAAAAGACAGTTGGTGGTATTTTTGCCTAAGTGGAGCAAAAGTCATTTGGGAAGATGGCCAGACTTGGTTGCCAATACCAATTTTAATGTCATTTGAGGGTGGTGGAGAGGAGCAGCCAGTTTCTGATTTCTTTACCAGTTTGTTTTTTTATCTAAAGTTAAAGGGAATTACTGCTATCTTCAACTGTGAATCCTGTTTTAGCCTATATGTTTGGTGCTGGAAATTTTTTTGTTGATTGTCTCTATGTTCTGAAGTATGAAATTTTGTGTTCAATTTGCTCTGCTATTCACTGCCTTTATGGCTTGCCACTTAAATTCCCTCTCTCAATGCATTCTGTTGCTCCTGTATGTAGTTACAGAATTGTACTTGGGTTTATAATGTTTACTTGGTTTTGTTTCTTCTTGTTCATCCTATGTTGTTTCCAGGTTAGGTGATAATATTTCTGTTGGTTAGCCCTATCGCATAACATTAATCAATGTAACTTTATGCTCATAGTGCCATCTGCAGGTACATTTTCCCCAAAATTGTGCAATTAAATAACATTTTCAATATTTAATGGTCATTGATATTAGGATGATTGAATGTTCCTCATTGGATTTTTGCAAAATGTTGATATAAATAACAGCAAGAGTTTTGTTCTTTTTCAACCAAATAACTATTTTATCTTGATTATTAAAATGGCACCACCGCCCTTCACTGGACTGAATGGTTACATATTTTTCCAACCACGAGAGCAGGTGTAAATATTGCAAATTTTCTTTCTGATTTCTTTCCCTCGTGTTGCATGTTGTTTTTTCCAAATCAACCAGATCCCAGTATTTGCATTAGTTCATGGTTTTGTTTCATGCATTCATCTTAGCTGCGTCATTGGGAATCGTGTTGCAAAACAAGGGGATGATAGGTGATATAACAGAGGGGATAAAATGAGTTATCCAATGAAAAAGGAATCTGCCATAATATACACAAGTAATTATAATGACTGAAATGTTAACTTTTTTTTTCCAGTTAACAGAAACATCCTCGCGCTATGCAAGAAAAATTTCAGGTACCACTGCATTACAGGAGGCTTTAAAAGAAAAGCAGCAACATATTGAGCAGCTTCTGGCTGAACGAGATCTGGAAAGGGCAGAAGTTGCTAAAGCAACTAGCCACGTGGGAGAAGTTGAACAGGAGCTCACGTTACTTCGGACAGGTCATGAGCAGGTAAGGGATTAAGGCAGTGAGCTTAATTGAGTTTACAGTTATAGAATGTATAATAGAAATTTGACATAAAGTGCTTTTGATATGCACGAGAAGAATGCAATCTGTAAAGTGCTTGATTGAAGGGCCCAGCATGGAAAAGGTGGAGGCCCTCAGAGCTCTCTCCCTGACCCTCGTTTCTCCATTTCCATTGGATTTCTTTGGAAACATTTTAATGAACTTCTCGCAATGTATTTGCCAACAATGTTGAAATTTCTTTCATTTCATGCAGCATGTATTGGAGATGGAGACAAAGATGGACCAGTTACGAGCACTGGTTGAGGCTGCTGATAGAGAGAAGGTGGAGCTGCTGAACCAGCTAGAGGAAGAAAAAAGGTGCCAGTTACTAAGATGAATTTCAATATGTTGTGAACAAGTGACTTCTGTACGAGCATATCATAAAACTACACTATAGGTATTTCAAGGAACTGACAATGGTGACTCTTTGCCAAGGTTAATGTCAATCACATGAAGCTTTATTTGATATGACTCGAGGTTAATTAATCTTAAAACTCCAAACACTATGTTCATAGCAAATTTCTATTTTTTTTTAATGTGAATTGAAAAGACTTGTCTTCTGATTATGGTCTTCTCACTACCTTCCGGATGAGCATTGAAAACTTCAGGATATGGTATTCCTTCTCCTTGATGGTGTCAGTTGTGTCTTCCAGGAATGATCTGTTTTCTTTTATCAACAGGAAAGTGGAGGATCTTCAGTTCCGTGTAGAGGAAGAGTCCATTACCAAAGGTGACTTAGAGGTAAACAAACTTGTTTTGCAAAGAATCTGAACCTGACATGGTGGTGATTCAGAAACTACTGACATTTCCTATCTTAAAAACTTTAGCTGCCAGTATTCAAGTATCCAGAAAGCATTGATCCTGAATGTCGCCAATACTTTTTTATATTTAAAAAAAAAAAGGATGAGAGATGTGAACAGTTCCTATCAGTAACTGATAACTGCTGGTTAAGAGCTAATTGGGGTTTATGCAATAGAAAATTTCAGATTAATTGCTGTTGAATGATTGGGTTGTTTGCCATGACGCTTGTAGCTTGGTGGCTGTAGTGATGGCAAAAAATTATTGATCAATAGTTTATAATCTTACATTGTCACCACAAAGTTTTGTTTTAAATGATTAATGTTTTGGTGATGTAATTATTTCTTCAAGAAAAAAGGTTTATTCTCTTTGCGTTTAACCAGTTCCATTGCTGCTTTACAATTTCTTTGCTCGACTTGGGTACTCAAACATATGGAAATCTGAGCTGAATTTATAAAACTGGCAGTCTTTGGTTCAATGAATCAGAATTAATTTAGTCTGTTTATAAAAAAGGAGGTTGTCCCTGTTCTCTTTATAGGCATTCCAATCATAGTGGTACAAGCTATGACAGGACATATGGAACTTAGGAGCTTTTGCCTAACTTTCTTTTAAATCACAAGTTATTGCTAACTGTTGAGAGCTATCCAGTAGATCTTGGACTTTTAAGGTGCTTCATAAAGTTTTGTGCTGTCAGAAGATTAAATGGATATAATTAGATAATTTGTTTATGGTCTGTTGAAAGTGAAAGGTTAGTGGCTCAAGATGCCTGGAAGTCAGGACAGGCCACTTTTTCAGCTAATTTAATATGAAGTGGAAAATCAATGCCGTAAAAGAAGTGATGCAGAAGTTTGAGCTAAGGTTTTGTGAATTGAATGAGTTCTGTCAGTATTTCAGTATTAAACTTTAAAAAGAAGTCTTTACATTAACACTACAAAGTATCTCCCTATTTGTTGAGTGTTGTGACTGTTACCTCAGAAAGGTCATTGGTAGCTGAAAAATTTCAGTATCCTGGAATTACAATTTTTGATTTATGGAAAAGATGGCTTCTGTGAAGCATCAGAGAACCAAAGTGGGATTAACTGTATAATAAAACATATGATTAAAAATATAATACAATTTAAATACTGCTATGAAGTCTGCCTTTTAACCAGTTTCTTAACTTGAAGATAAAGCTTATTGTACTTTAAGTTTTAACCCATGCCCTTTTCATGGTTCTGCAATGAAATAAGCATTTAAAGTACGTAGACAATTTTTTAAACATTGCTATAGAAACAAAGCATCACGACTCAAGATTGTGGCATGAATAAATTTCAAAAAATGTCATTGGTCCACATTTGTTTTCATTGATTTGGAAATGCATTGAGATTTTTGCATCTGATTTAAATATTAATTGTCGGTTTATTTAAATACCAGTTTTGAATAGCATAAATAGGAAATGGTTGTGTCAGAAGTATAAAATCCCAACACTTGTATTCAAGAAAAATCACCAAAGAATGCACATTAGTAAGAATATAATCTTTTAAACCATTAAAAATAAACTTTGAACATATTTCATGTTGTAATTTGCTTAAATAGTATTTGTGGTGAATACAAGTAATCTGATCACTTGCTGATTTTAATTTTCATGAATTTTGTGCACAAATTAAATAAATGTAATGGATTAGGATAAACAGAACTGGGCAAGCTAAAGACTTTAGAAGCAAGTTAAAGAAACTCTTTGGACCAAATTCTGCCAGTTTTACAGGAAACTTTGGATGTCTTCAAAACCAGAATTGGCTCAATGTATTGTAGTATAAAATATGATTGTTATTTTGATCTATGGAAACATGGAGCTTATTTCAGAGCATCAATGTAGAAAGTGATATTGTTGTCACAAAATACTGGCCAGAAGTAAACAAAGAAAAGTTATAGTTGACAACTTGTTCATGAGCACAATTAATAAGTTGTTGATCTATTTATATAGAACTCTGGTAAACCAATGGCTTGAGCATTTAATCCAGAGCAATAAATGATTCTTGCATTACTACATTGTATATTATTTTAAAAAATTCTTTGTCTTCCCCATGACTCAATGATCTTTGCACAGTAAGTAGCTGAGCTGTTCCACTCAAAAAATATCCTGGTTAAATCCAGGGTTTGCATAGTTGACTGATCTCAGCTGGTGTGGGACTTTCCCTTTTGGGAGGGGAGAACTGACCAGTATTTACTACTGATCTTTGTCCAGTAACCCTGCTAAAAGAAGGCAAAAACAGACTGAACAGTGCATGACTTGATTGACTTTCACAGTCAAGTTGCTAGCTGAGGCTCATAATCAAAACTTATGTATGACTAATGCAAACCAAGTGAGATGCTGGAGAGGGCTTTTTGGTCCATATTCCATAAATAATTGAACTATTACAGGAAAAGAGAGAAAAATGGCAAGAAAAGTAGTGATTTCTTTTTTTAAAATTGAAAAAGTACATTTGAAAGGGAGATGAATCAAAATGGGTTTGATGGTATGGTAAGTGGTTAAACACCAAATTGATAGCTTTGACCCTGGTGTCGCATAGTGGCCAAATTTATATAAAAAGATTGCAGGGACTTTTAGACAGTATTGTGCTGAATTTGTTACTTTTTAAACTACAAAGTTGTAATAAATACTTTCTCCTGAGAGTTTTAGATTAATATAGATAATAGTATATGGTGTAGCAATTGTGAAGACATCCAATGTTTAAAATA